CCCTCATCCACCCCTTCACCCCCCTATAACACGTTATATTCGATATCGCGATATATACATGCATACATATATATGCATGTATTAGGTGTAGTAGCTAATTCGGTGCTTTAATATTAAAACTAAACCTACCACGATTGGTCAAATGATACTTTTTAAACGTTTCGTTTAAAAGTATTAATCAATAATTCTTATTGCATAATTGATATATTTTTTACTACATATATACATATATATATGACTTTATGAAGATGTATCATTTAATCCATTGTAACAGAAATAAGTATATAGTATATATAATATAAAGGAACACGAGATATGCGTTTAGCATTGAATTCATTTAATCTAAATAATCATCTTATTGTCGTCAAGGAATTAGACAAGTGGAAAGATGAATTAGTGGTGATCATAGATACATATTATTACTTTATAAATAAATAGAGAATTTGTATAAAAATCTATCGAATTAATTACTACATTTAAATAATAATAAATAATCAACGATGTAACCTACATTTTATTATTAATTTCCTTTAGATCATTAAAGTCAAACAACGTGAGCACGAATAATAAAATGTATCAAGTGACCCGTTCGAAAACACACAAAAACCATGTTCCTTTAATCCCATAGAGTTGATAAAAAGAATTGGACTATTTTGATAACATTAAATAAGGTTACAAATGTGTATATTAAAGAAGTAACTCGGAACCCGTATAAAAGGGAGAATAAAATAAAAATAATAAGAAATAAGAGAGATAATAATAGTAAATGAATATTTAATAGAAATTATTATACGTTTTTGATTACAGCCGGAGAATTGTATATCTACGTACGAACCACATGCATATTGCGTTGTTTATTCAACTACGGATCGTACATCTGTGAAAGTAGCTGAAGATGTTCTTCAAGCACTTTGGCGTAGCGACCACGTATCTGCGAGGGCGGTCATTCTCGTTGGAAACAAGGTTGATCTAGCTAGGAGTCGTGTGATATCGACCGAAGGTAACCAATCGTTTATATTGTACACGATCCAGAACGTCTATCAAAATCCTTATCGCCGCATTCAAACGAGATTCCGCATGCAAGCTGCACCATTTGCCACGGTCCCACTTCCGGAGACTCTTTGTTAAACTGTAACCCTAGAATCCCTAACCCTATTTCTCTTTGAACATGGTCGTGTTGTTTCCTATTCGATACATCTACGTATTTCTAATGTTAATCGTTTTTATACCTACATAAGGTATAAAAAATTATTTTTTTTAATACTTATAACAAATTATTATAATTGTCAAAATATATGTTTATTTGTTAATTATTGGTTAATAGGAAAAGTAATTTTTTATTTTTTAATATTAAAATTTTAGGTGACATACGATATTTTTTTGCAATGATGGAAAAGTAATTTTAAATATATATTACAAATTTAGATATTAGAAAAAATTGTTTATCAATAACTAAAAAGTTAATATTAGGAACACGTATTGAATTATAAAATCTCACATATATAATTTTAAATAAGAAATTTGTCAAAATATGTAGACACTATGGAAATTGGCATATGGAATAAAATTATTCAAAAGAGTTTGCGAAGATTTATTTATAAAGATTTTTGATTAAAAAAAAAACAAAAAGCCTTGATCTTCAAACTCTTCTGATCTCAATGCTACGGATGTTTTAAAGTAGAGTCAATTTTTAAGGAAAATATATTTTATTCATAATACGGCTAAAGTGAAACAATTTAAAAAGTCTTTGATAAAAAGCTTGGGTTTCCAAACAACCGTTGACAAAAAATTCTGCAAACACTTTTAGTTAAAAAGTTTCTTAATGCTACATTTTTTTTAAAGACTTTAGATTATGTATAACACATGTTGTAAAAAAACTGTTTCCTATTTGTGTTATTAACGTATAACACACACACACAAAAACTAATTATGATTCGTTTTGCAATTCAATAAAAGTTAAAAGCTACGAAATTATTTCCAATTATTTTCAATGAAAACAATATTAACAAGCATTGTTGTAAAAATGATTGGTAATTACGATCATTGACAATAATTTGCTCAATGATTAATCATCGTCATTTTGAATTCAATTAGCTTAAAAGTATTCTCGTGTATCATATAATATCTCAACCCCCCCCCCGGTATCACGTTATATAATATTATATATATATTACAAGCCATAAAAATCTTTAAAATAAGCCAGGAACGATTATAACGAAAATCCTACAGACAACTTTTTCAGGATTTCTTTTCGTTAACGATTTTAAAAAGAGCGAGAGAGAAAGAGAGAGAAAATAAACGAAAAAGTTGGCAAAAAGAAAAGTCGGAACGAGGCCAACGACCGTGTAGCCCGAGGAAAAAAGAAAGCAAACGAAAAACGGATAGGTCAAAGGAACTATCTTTCCTTCGTTCTCCATATAACCGAGTTTTTATTTTTTTTTTTATTTTGCACGTTTTAAAAGACGACGAGAGCTACGATATTTCATTTTTCAACACTTTGTTGGTGGTTTATTGAAATTTGAATTGGCGATTCCGATCCGCTTAATTGAAACTCGTCCGGCCGATCAAAGTTCCCATTTGAGAGATTTTCTCTTTCAAACGAAAACACGATTTAATGAGAATCTTTAAAATGATATTTTAAAACAAAACAAAAATAATCCACTTTTCATACGTTTACTTTTATTTATAAACGATTGATATAATAATTACAACGATGTAATTTTTCAAAACTAACAAACTCTCTTTACGATTTTATTTCTTCTTTTACAATATAAATTTTTATAGAACGTGAAACTTAATTATACTATATAAGGAATTATGTGTTTAAGAAAAAAAATATTTTAAAATATATGATTACTTTATAGTAAGATAATTTATATTTTTGATTAGTTTATATTACTAAAGAATAATATTTAAATCGAGCAACACATTGGAAATTTGTTAAACATCGAATATTCGTTTGACGGTTATCGTCTAAACATTTTTCATGGTTGTCATCGGAAATACGTTAAATCTATAAATCTATATATATATATATATATATATATATATATACCTACGTGTATATATACGTGAATGTTTGAAATTCTCGACACAGTAATATCGATTTAGTTTGTAGATGACTGCTGTCCAACCAATAGAAAAAAATATTCCCTTTTTTCCGGTAATGAACGTGCCAATAATTTAATCTAACGGTACGTGTAAATACTTGTTAACCGTGCAAATCATTCATTATTTATCGTGTGGCAACAAAACGAAAACGAATAGTAACGTTATTGCACAAAAACCCACCTGCCTACAAAACTGTTTCTTCGTTCTCCTAAATTCCTCTGCATATTCTGTTGTACGATAAACAAATCAATCTATTTTTTTATTGCTTATATGGTGTATATAATAATAAATATATAACATTTAAATGGGAACACTTATATAATTTATCGATAATAATAATTATCGTAAGAAATTAAGTTACTATAAGCTTATTCTTTTCTTATATAGTTTCGATATGATTACATCAATAAAAAAGAAATAAAAGTTTATTTTATGAAAACAAAAAAGGAATAAAAAAGATTGACTAATTTATATAAATGAACAACGATAAAAATAGAAATGAATACGAAATAGATATTTTTCTACTTTAGATTTAAAACTTCATTACACGAGAGTTAACTAGTTTTTTTTTTCTTTCTTATCATGGTATACGTATAATAAAAAGAATCATGTGTATGGTTAAACACTTTTATCATGTAACGTAAAAGAATTTCTCAAGCAAAGAATTCAAGAAGCAACTGTCGCAGTTATAAAAGATATGCATTTACTTGAGTTTGAAAATATCCAGCAAAAGTTGAATTACCGTGTTGACATCTGTCGAGTCACACGTTGCTCATAGATCGAATCTCTATAATGTGATACGATATGCAACTTACTTTGAAAGTTATCTTTTTTTCCTAAATGCACATGAAAGTGATAAAGTATGTACTATACTTATAGTTGTTACGTAACATACGATTTTGCTGTGTTACCTGCTTTTACGATATAGTTGAATAGAAAATTAAAATTAGTTATGAAAATATATTTTTCAAGAAAAGTTTTATCATATTTCAAAAAGTAAGTTTCAAACAAAATTATTGTTATTTTCTCTTTTTCTATAAAATTGAATATTTTCCCCTGACGTAAGCTATAATAAAATCTATAAACTTTATTATTTACTTTAGTATATTTTTATCCATATGAATAAATTTATGATATAGCTGAGAGAAAAATTCCTAATTTAAAAAGTTATTTTTATCCTTGTACCATATTACCAAAGATAAAAAAAACACACATATTTTTTATTTCTGACTATTACATCAATTTATTTTTTTGTAATTCAAAATCAAAGCCGATTAATTTACGGATTTTCTTGATAAATGTTTGAAAACACAGTTGTGCACTTTTAAAGAAAAATTAACAATAAAACATTCAGATGTTCCTATTTAAATGTTTCCTATCTGTGTGTAATAAAAAATACATATGTAATGAAAAAAAAAATTTGTTAACAGAAGGTAAATCAATGGCAACGTCGTTCGATTGCAAATTCATCGAAACATCGGTTGGAATAAATCATAACGTGGACGAATTATTGGTTGGACTATTAACGCAAATACGTTTAAAACTCGAAAATCCAGAAAGGACGCGTGATCTATTTCGTAAAAGGTCAAGAAAAAATCGTAGCAGATCACCGTTGGGTTCTTGTTCGGAGAACAACTCGCCAAAGAAGTACAGAGGTAGTAGGACAAGTACCAGCCTAAAGGTACGAAATTTGTTGGGTAAGGTTTGGGCAAGGGACAGTAAGTCAAAAAGTTGTGAGAATCTTCACGTTCTTTAGAATGACAAAAGATAGAAGAAAAAAAAGAGATAGTAAGATAAAATAATCGATGACGGCGAAATCGAAGAATAAAAAAAAAAACCAAAAAAAGAAATATAAAAAAAAAAAAACAGAGAAATTTAAGGCCGATCCTCCAAATCAACGCGCGATTTCGATTTTTATCATCGCGAATGAGAAAAAAAAAACACGATGAGAAAAATAAAAAAAAAAAGGAATTTTTTTTTTTCTTGGAAACAGGATTATCGGATCGTAAGAAAAATAACAAAAAAAAAAACGATTTTCGTTTCCGGAATTAATTGTTTCTACGAAAGAGAGGGAAAAAGGGGGAAGAGAATGAAAAATATAAAAAAAAAATTAAACGATTTGAAACGAAAAAAAGAAAATAATTAAAAAAAAAAAAGTAAAGAAAAGAAAATTCATAGAAGTTAATGACTACCTCGAGAATATTGTGTTCACCTCCCCCATCCCCCACCCTCTGCAAATACATTTTTTTAAATCGTCTCTCATTTCTTGTGTTTTTATCCTCCTACAAAACAACTGTTATATCTGATTAAATCAAGAGTTCGAAACCTTTCTCTTTTTTTTTTTTTTTTCTTTTTTTTGATCGTTATAATGACTTCCTATATTTCGAGCACGTTTCTAAAATAAAAAATAAAAAAAGTAAAAAAAGAAATAAAAACGATATAAAATAAATACCATAAATCAATATGAACTCGTCATACAAGCATCCTTTCGTAGTTTTAAAACCGAAATAAACCGTTCGAAAAAAAAAGTGTTCGCGCATAAGATCCCGTTTGAATTTTTTTGTTTTCAAAATAAAATCAATATTTATTTTTCGTAATAACTATTCCTATAGCCCGAGGATAAGAAATAATAACAATATCTTTCCTTCGGTAATCCTGTTTCTCACGTATTTARACAATTATCTATATTATTATATATATATATTCCTCGACCAAACGATAAAAGTAAGATTGTTGTTATTGTATCGTAAAAATGCCGACTTTTTAAACGAAAGAACAAGCGAGAATGCGAGAGAGAGAGAGAGAGAGAAAGAAAGAGAGTATGAAAAATTAAAAAAATTCACACACTTGCATACATATGTATATCGTATGTGATATTAGAAATCGATGAGCAAAAATACGTTATTGCAACAAAATGATGTCACAGATAGTCAAATTTTGAATGACAAAAAAATAAAGAAAACACAGGAAAATAGAAAGAAATAGAGAGAGAGAGAGATAGAGAGAGGGAAACAAAAAGAAGAAAAAAGAGAAAAAAGGGGACAAGAAATATTTTAATGTACTTTCTTAAAATCGGTGAACAATTTAACGATAATGAAACGAGTTGAGACTGTTCCAAATTTTTCTGAAACTACCAAGAGACATTTATTTCTGCTTACTTTTGAACAACCTCGCAGCCGAAATAATGTAATAGAACGAAATGAAGTTCGTTCATTTTATATACAATACGTATTACATACGTGTATAGGATATACGCACACGCACACACATACACACACACACACATGTACACTTTCATACACATTGAAACATATACAATATATAACACATGCTACACATGTATACCTGTGCTGGAAGCTTTTTTAGGAAAAGAAAAAGAAAAGAAAAGAATTTAAAAAAAAAAAAGGATCAAATTGGATGTAATAACAAAATGGCGACCGATTAACGAACACACAAAAACATGCTTTCTACACATTTTATATAAATACACGATACAAAAATATACACACACACACATATATATATAGATTCCGAAATACGTCATTGTCAAGTATCAACTTATCAAACGTTGAGGCAAATAAAAATCGGTGTACGTTCAATCGTTTGTTCTCTTATAACGTTTGTAAAATGTACGAGAGATAAACTATCGTACATACATATGTCAGGTTTTTAAAAAAACGACACATCTGCTCTGGCTTCACTGTTATTCGTTGCTTTCGATCAAACAATGTATATTTTCTTTTTTTATTTTTTTATTTTAACTTTAGTGAGAAAGAGAGAAAGAAGAAAATGTAAAGGTTACAAAATAAAAGTCAAATTTATTTATTTTATTTTTTTAATCTATCGTATAGTACATTTTATGTTATATTTCGTTCTTTATATATCTATATTTATATTTCTTCTTATTTCAAAATTTATTTGCACTTATACAATTACGACAAAGGTCATAAATGTATAGAATAAAAAACAAAACAAGAGAGAGAGAGAGAGAGAGAGAGAAAATACTGAATTTTTAAATTTTAATTATATTACTATAATCTTTCCTTCTTTCTTTCGTAACATTTACTTAATAATTTTTTTTATAATTAATAAAAATACACTTTATAATTAATATTTTTATCGTTATATTTCTCACAGCTTACTTATATTTAATTTTTCTTATCGATATGACACGCTGTATCTTGTAAATTAATTTTTTCTTTCTCTCTCTTTCTCTCTCTTTCTCTCTACTGTTTTCACAATTCTCTTCTTTTTTAAAATTCTATCCAGAATGCTCATAAATTGTAAAGCTTTGTATTGCATCTAACAGAAATATTAATAATTCTTATTATTTGTTTTTTTTTATCTCCTTGTTCTTTTACATAATGGTTAGTACGCAGTTAACGACGTTCTCGCGTTTTCTCTCGGTAACAACGTAAAGATTTTTATTTCGTTCGATGCATCGCAAATTAATCAAAAGTGCATTGAAAAGCAAACAAAAAGAAAAAACAGAGAGAATATGAAAACAGAAGGAAGAGAAAAAAATTTCATAAACAAATACATTCACGTTTTATTCGTATTTCAAAAATACTTTACTTACGTATATTAAATTTAATATTCGTGCCACGAAATTCGAATGTCCGAGCGGAAAAATATTGGGTGACGAAAAGAAATAGAAGAAAACAAAAAAATTTTTTTTTTTTAAATAAATACACACGCGAAAAAGTTTATCCATCACAAAAAAAATCGATATGCGAAGCTTGTTTTTGTTGTGTTTCTTTTTTTTCATCACGGTCTCATTTTCTTTCTTTCTCACTCTTCCCCCCTTCCCTCTCCCCGGACTTTTATTAAATCTCACAAAAGTTTACAATTATTTTTATCAATTACAAAATAACAAGAGATAAAATAATAGCCGATTAAACGAAGCAACGATCAAAGATCGCGCATGCGTTTAAATGTCAAACAAACAAGATAAATTAATTTTATCTTTATTATTTTTTCCCCCCCCCCCCGTGTTTTATATATTATTGACGAATTTTATATATATATATTTTTTTTTCGATATTTTTTTTTTTTTTCATACCAATAGGAACTTTTAATTACATTTATTATGCAAATCAATGAAACTTCACAGTAATTTAAAAATCAGTTTATAAGTCATTCGTTCCATTTACTATTGCGTAAACCAGAATGAAAACAAGAAAAAGAATAAAAAAAAGATTGAAAATAAATTATATAAATGATCAACGATAAAAAAAAAAAAGAAATAATTACATAAAACATAAGGAAAATATCAATTTAAAAAAATATATCTATATATACACACAATAATTATTGAGTCAAAGAAAATAATTAAAATTAATAAATACCCATAGCATATCTAATAAGCAAAAGTACTTAATCTTTTTCTCTGACGAGCCACATACATTTATCTCTTATACAAACAAAAAAGTGGAACCCAATGTTATAAAAGAGACAATTTATATAAACCGATGATCAAAAAAAAAAAAAGAGGTCATAAGGAATAAAAAACAAGTACCTTTATTTCATTATTTAAACGTTGATGTTATCTTTGACATTGATGCAAATTCGCAGCAATTTTTTTTTTATAAAATCGGTTAGCTTTCCAGGCGTAGGGGCGGAAAGGGGGGGGAGATAAGGCAAGGGACAATTATGACCGTAAAAAGAAGAAGAAGAAGAAAAACAAAAAGTGATGAATTTATGACTGTATATTTCGGGGCAGCAGATTTTAACACTTTACCGACCGGTAGCGATTCGAGGATCCTATGCTCTTCTCACCGGCCACTCAACCGCATATCGTCCGAGACATCGGCTCGCTTTCGGCTTAGACTGTCGCGCGGGAAAATATGCGCTTTTCTTATGTTCTAGTAAAATTGTACGTTTTGTGTTATTATATGATAACCAAATTTAATAAAATCTTTTATTTTAATGATATTAGTCCAAACAATATTTATCGATAAGCTCTGTGAAATAAAAGTCGATTAATCGACTGCCGGTCGGTAAGGTGTTAAGTATGGCTGACATAAAGTGTCCAAAGAAATCTTCCCGACGCTTACTCGACTTTAACTTAAATCAAATAAGTATTAGTAACTCTTCTCGGTGTCCGAATAAATACGATAAATACGCTTTTAGCCAAGTATACACGAATGGAAAAATAATTATGAAAAAATGGGAAGACATAAAATTTAACGGAAAATCTAACGTCCAAGTATTGTTTTTCGTTATTAAAAAAAAAAAAAAAAATAACGTTAATGTAAAAAATAATAGAACTTAATTAGTAAATTATGTATTTACATACAAAAATGTGCGTTAGATGTGTGTGAGCGTATGGGTGTGAAACATAACAACTATTAAAGAATTTCATAAACGTTTGAAAATTTTACACGTAGTTATATATTAGCATGTTAATATCAACACTAAGAGGGCTGTTTTTTGGAAACGTTGATTACGTAGTAGTACACTTTAAAACATACATACATTCATATATACATATATATGAGAATGAGCCAATCATTGTTATTCGCGGAGTATATATAAGTAAAAGAATTTATTTTATAATATAAAAGAATTATAAAATACAATTACATTGAAAGACAATTGATGTATGAAGTCAAAAAAACAAGTTCATTTCATGTGATTACATTTTCATTACAATTATTTATATTATAAAATAAATGGTTAAATCAATTTGTTTTACTTAACCCATTGTCATAATTAGCGATACGAAATTATTGACTCACTCTCATAAGTATATAATACATACATAAATACATACATACACATATTAGACGCTAGAGTCATTTTTTCGAAGTAAATACATATAAGCAATACGTTAAAATTTACGTGTTTTAAAATAACAAAAAGGAAAAAAAATAGAAAAATAGTAATTTTCTAAAGTCCTAGATTCAATATTTGTAAGAAAATGATTAAAGAATGATTTATCGTTAAACAGTAACAAGTAAATAGGTCAAAATCGATAAATCATCATCGAATATCGAAGAAAAAAGTCGAGTTTACTCCATAATATCTCCTCGAAGTATATATATACATTTGTTTTTCTTATTTTCTTCCCATTTCTTTTTCCATGACTAGACCATTTTTTATTTTTTTTTTTTTTTTGGTTCTTTTTACCTTTTTTCTTTTTATTTTCTCTATTTATAATTGTTCATTTAACGTTTAACTCAAAGTCCAATCGACTGACTAGGCTATAACGAATGATTAATCGAATACGTCTGAACACGCACGCGTTCAACGTGTTCCAATTTTTTTTCAAATTTCGATGATCGAACGCTTCGAACGCTACAAAACAAAAATAAAAATAAAAATGAAAAAGAAAGAGAGAGACAAAAAAAATAAAAGGAAGAAACGCTTATTAAGCGATTACGTTCGTTGAAACTATTGATCGTTATCGCAATGCAATTTCTCTCCCTTTTGTTTCCTACTCTCGTATAGATTCGCTTTTACATTAGTGGCGTAAGAAAAATAAAAATAAAAATAAAAACATAAATAAAAACAACAACATACAGAAAAAAAAACGTAACAACAAACAAAAAAATAGAGGGAGAAGGAAAGAGATGAAAAAATGAAAGACAGAGCGAGAGAGAGAGAGAGAGAGAGATAGTAAAAGGGAGAGAGACGAAGAATGATCTCGCATAAATTTACACCAATTTTTTACATTACGATTTTGTACGAGTAACGAAATTTATCGTTTATGTGTATGTAAATAAAGTAACAAGCATCGTTTAACGCATGAATATTTACTTCGTAGATGAAAGAAATTTTTTAAAGAAATAAAAAAGAAAAAAAACATACAAGTTAAGAACAAAGATAAAACGGAAAGGAGAGAAAAGTGAAACAAAAAACATGATACGATTGCATGAAGAAAATAATCCTAAAGTCCAACGATTCTATCGTCGCTATTATAACAAACTGTCGTATTTTCCTTCTACTTCTTCTTAATACCGGTTAATTAAAAATCATAATTAAAAAGATAAACATCGGATGGTAATTATACGTAATTTTACACGATTGAGAAAAATTTCTAACTAAGTATTCGAATATAGTATTATATAGGTGTAGCAATTTAATTCGGATTAGTTAAAAAAAAAAAGAACGAGAAATTAAGCGAGAGAAAATAAAAGAGAGAGAAAGAGAGTATGAGAGAGAAAGATAGAGAAATACAAAAATGATTAAAACAAAGTGAAAAATAAGAAGAGAGGAGGAGGAACGAGGAAAAAAATAATATGAGAAGAAGAGGAAAGAAGGAAATAAATAAGACTCGATGAAAAAGAGAGAGAGAGAGAAATAAAAACGAGAGGAGAAAATAGAGCAACGAGAAGGAGAGTGAATGAGAGGAAGAGGGTAAA